TGGTGGTGGTGGTGGTGGTGGTGGTGGTGGTGGTGGTGGTGGTGCGGCGCGGGTGCTGGGATGGTGCTGGTGCTTGGTGCTGGTGTCTGGTGCCTTGGTGCTGGTCTGGTGGTGTGGCCTGTGGTGGTGGTGGTGGTGGTGGTGCTGGTGGTGGTGGTGGTGCTGCTGCTGGTGGTGGTTGTGATGATGGTGGTGGTGGTGGTGGTGGTGGTGGGGGTGGTGGTGGTGCGGCGCGGTGGTGGCGGGCGGATGGGCGCGCGAGAAAGAGGCCCGCGCTGGGGCGAGAACGCCATCCTGAATGATGGAGGCCAAACACCGATCCGAAAATGAGGCCCACGCTGCAGCGGGAGCACGATTCGGAACGATTCGGGAGCAGAAATGAGGCCGGCGCCTCAGCGAGAGCAGCATTTTGGAAAAAACACAGGCGAAAACCCGTTTCCCGGGAATCCTGTTTGTAAAAAACAATACGCGGGGGGGTGTCGGATATCTTCGGGACGCCATCAGGGGAAGTGGGAGAGTATTTTCATATTGTGTAATTGTGGAGGAGGAAGGAGGAAGGATGCCAAACAGCAGGGCAGGATTAGGGGGCAGCCTTCAAAGACTGATGATGATGATGGAGATGATGATGATGAGGAGGAGGAGGAGGATGAGGATGAGGATGAGGATGAGGATGAGGATGAGGATGAGGATGAGGATGAGGATGAGGAGGAGGAGGAGGAGGAGGAGGAGGAGGAGGAGGTCGAGGACCAGGACGAGGACAAGGATGAGGACGAGGACGAACAGCAGCAGCAGCAGCAGGAGCTGGAGTGGGAGAAGCGGGAGCAGCGGGATGACCAGGGAAAGGCGGGGGAGGAGAAAGGAGCGGGCCGCACTCTGTTCCAGAAAAGTGGCCCGCGCGTAGGGGCGAGAGCGCCACTCTGAGCGATGTGAGTACCGCGCCGATCCTAAAATGAGGCCTGCGCTGCAGCGGCAGCACCCTATTGAGGTACTGCAGAACGTTCCGATGCAAAACGACAGCAGCAGGACATAACAGATGATGGCATCCTGTGTGTGGGAGCGCGCGGCGGCGGGCGGGCCACTCCCCGGGCGTCTTCGAGGGAGAAGAAGAGAGCAGTAATCACACACACACACACACCCCTCCCCTAACGTGGGCTGCCCACCTGACGTCAACCCGGGCCTCGGTGACACCGAGCCCCGCCTCTCGCGGGATGGGCGTGGCGCCTGCCTTCTGGCGGCACGCGCCTGTCTCGGGAGGGCGCTCTGGCTCGTGCGTGGGCCACACCTCTCTGATCAAAGATGTTGTTGCCGCCCAGGCGCCAGCGACATCCGAGGAGGAGGAGGAGGAGGGGGAGGAGGAGGAGGAGGGGGAGGAGGAGGCCACGAATGCGACGGATGCTCTCGCCTCACCAGTGGCCACGTCCACTATGTCGACTTCGTGTCGGCCTCAATCCGGGCCACATGCACGACTGCGAAGGTTGCTTCCGCATCTTCGCCGGCCTCGCCAGTGATTTCGAACGTGGCTCAGTGCGGGCCACATCCGTCACTGCGAGCGTCACTCTCGCCTCGGCGTCGACTACGACGGCTGCTGTCGCCTCAGCGCCAGCCATATCCATGCTTGCGAACGTTGCTCTCGCCTCAACGGTGGCCACATCCATGCTTGCGAGTGCTGCTGTCGCCTCGGCGCCGGCAACGTCCACGATTGCGAATGTTTCTCTCGCCTCAGCGTCGGCCAGACCCACGATTGCAAGAGTTGTTCTCGCCTCAGCGCCGGCCACATCCATGACTGCAAATGTTGCTCTCGCTTCAGCGCCGGCCACAAACGATGACGAAAGTTATTCTCGCCGTAGCGCCGGCTACACCCACGATTGCGAAAGTTGCTCTCGCTTCATCGCCGGCCACATCCATGATCGAGAATGTTGCTCTCGCCACAGCGATGGCCACATCCATGACTGCGAAAGTTGTTCTCGCTTCAGCTCTGGCCAGTTTCTTCATTGGAAACAAAGAGGGATTAGTGATGCAGTTGGCGCTTTTGCAACGCATGTTGCTGTGTGTAGTCCCATTCTGGTGCGTCGTTTGCTACAGCGCGCGCGTGACACACCGGTGTCGCCGAGCCGTTGGTCACGTTAGCTGTAATGGGTTAGGTTAGCTTTGGCGCAGTGTCGACAGGGCCTGGGTCAGGTTAAGTTTGGGATTTGCCACATTTCTGGGGGGGGGGCCTGTATTCATATCAAGTAATTTGACGGGGGTGATGGGATGGAGGAAGAGAGGAGGGGCAGGAGGGGGAGAGGGAGGAGAAGGAGGAGGAGACAGGGGAAAGGGAGGTGGAGGAGGAGGAGGACAGTGACGAGAACGAGATGGAAAAGGGGGGCAGGGAGGATGGGGGAAGGGAGGGAGGGAGTTGGAAGTGAAGGAGCCCCAGCAACGAAAATACACACGCTTTCAGCCACCTGGGACATGCGCCCAGGGCAGCCAAGTCATTTTCGGCGTTTTTCTCCTCCTCCTCCTCCTCCTGCGCCTCTTGCTCCTCCTCCTCCTCCTCTGCGTGCCTCGTCCTCGTTCTCCTCATCCTTGTCCATG